CCCTGCCACCATCTGCCGACCTGCGTGTGTCCCCACGACCCCTGGGTCACAGTGGCCCTGCGGTTAGTCTGGAAGATTCCTTCCCAGGCAGCCTTGAGGCTGTGGGTGGGCGCAGGGCTGGCTGCCGCTCTCCCCCCGGGCTCACCCTGGGCACCCCCCACGCCCGCAGGCCAACGTGGAGCACATGACGGAGAAGATGAAGACGGACATCCAGAGGGGCCTAGTGCTTCGGTGAGGCTGCCGCGCCGGGCGGGAGGGGTCTGCCCGAGTAGCAGTGAGGCTGCCCGGCCCGGAGGGCGGCTCGGGGCGGCCGAGGGGCACCGTACCCTCTCCCAGCACTGGCCTGTGGCCTGGCCCGGCGCGGGCTCGGCGTCTGGACAAGACCCGAGCCGGCTCCCACCTCACCCAGGCCCCGTTCCTCTTTCCAGAAATGAGAAGTGCCACGAATACTACACCACGGAGTTCCTGTATAACTTGTACTCCTCAGAGGGCAAGGGCGTGTTTGACTGTCGGACCAACGTCCTGGGCCACCTGCAGCAGGTTGGGGGGGGCCTGGGCCTGGCCTCTGCCTCCGTCTGGGCCTGGGCTGAGGGTCCCCAGGGGGACACGGCAGGACGGGGACCCTTCCCTGTGCACGACCTCGCGGGGCACCCGGCCGCTTCCCCCCGTGCCCGCCCTTAGCTTCTCGTCACCCCTCAGTGCGGGTGAGGGGGCGAGGCCGGGTCCCGCTGCGTCCTCACCATCAGGACACGGCAGGGCTGGGACCCCTGTGGCCACCTGCCGCTTGGCCTCCCGGTGGCCCCGCAGGAAGCCCGCGCTGTGCGAGGCCCGCAGAGACCGCCCCGCCTCTGGAGACGGCTCCCAGGCTGGGCCGGGAGGGCACGGCCTCGGTCGCGGTGCGGCCACGCGGCTGGGCTCCTGCCAGAGCCCCCGTCGCGGGTGAGAAGGAGGCCTCCCCACTCACTGTTTCCAGGGCGGAGCCCCGACCCCCTTTGACCGGAACTATGGGACGAAGCTTGGGGTGAAGGCCATGCTCTGGGTGTCGGAGAAGCTGCGGGCGGTTTACCGCAACGGTATGCACGCGGCAGGAGGGGGGGCCCGGGCCAGACCTCGCCCTCCGCCGGGGCCCTGGGTTCAGGGCTGCCTGTGTCCACAGGGCGGGTGTTCGCCAACGCCCCCGACTCGGCCTGCGTGATCGGCCTGCAGAAGAAGGCGGTGGCCTTCAGCCCCGTCACCGAGCTCAAGAAGGACACTGACTTCGAGTGAGTGCCTCTGAAGAGAGGGGCAGACTCCGCGGGCCACACTCGGCCCTGCCCCCCAAGGCTGCCCTGTCCCCCTGCCCAGGGCCTGAGCAGCGATCACACCCAGGCCTGAGCCCAGGCCCGGGCTTCCCTGACAGGGTGGGGTCAGAGGGCTGGTCGGGCTGTGCACACCCACCCCTCTCCCAGCCAGCCTGTGCTGCGCCACCGGGGGGACAGGGACCCCAGACACTGCTGCCAGGCTCCACTCTAGTGGGGGCCGGGCCCTGAGGAGGGGTGTGCAGGCCCCGAGGAGGGGCGTCTGGGTCCGAGGAGGGGCGTTTGGATCTCAAGGAGGGGTGTGCGGGTCCCGAGGAGGAGTGTGCGGGTCCCGAGGAGGGGTGTGCGGGTCCCGAGGAGGGTGTGCGGGTCCCAGGAGCCGCCTGGAGCGCTGACCCCGCCCCTGCCGGCAGGCACCGCATGCCGCGCGAGCAGTGGTGGCTGAGCCTGCGGCTCATGCTGAAGATGCTGGCGCACTACCGCATCAGCATGGCCGACTACGTGTCTGGGGAGCTGGAGCACGTCACCCGCCGCACACTCAGTATCGACAAGGGCTTCTGAGTCTGCACTCGCCCACCTCCCCCACCCCCGCCCTCTCCCTTCCCTCCCCGGAGCCTGCAAGCAGGCGGGTGGTGGGCAGGCAGGGGCTGCGGCCCTCGGCCTGGCTCCAGGGCTACCCCCCCACCCCCGTCCCCGCTGCCCGCTGCGGGGCACCCACGTGCTGGCCCGGGGGAGTGAGGGGCATCCGACGCCACTGTCCACGGGCCCCGCTGGGACCCTGCTTCTGTGTGCACTGGCCACTGTGGAGGAAAGGAGCTTGTCACCTTTTCTAGAAATAAAGTCACCCTGACTGTGGAGTGCGGCTCTCGGGAAAGCAGGCCTTGTGTGGCCTTCTCGGCAGAGGTGGCTGGGGGTGGCCCCGACCTGCACACGGGCCTGGCCTCCCCCAGTCCTGAGAGCATTCTCAGCCTGGCTCCAGGCCCTGGGTCTGACCCAGCCTGAGGGCTGCCGGGTGCCCGGTTTGGGAGCCGGGGCCCCTGTGGTCTGCCCTGCCTGCCGTGAGGGTAGGTGGTCCTGGGGCAGCCCAAGGAAGGGGCCCCACGTGCTTGAACGGCTGTCTCGAGAGACCAGGGACAAGTTGCAGGATCCCAGAAACCTGAGTGTGTATGTGTGTGAATGCATGAGTGTGTATATGTGTGTGCCTGAATGTGCACGCCCGTGTGTGAATGCGTGTGTGCACGTTAGTATGTGGGTCTGAGTACACATGTGGATGTCTGTGCATGCATATTAGTATGAGTGTCTGACTACGTGCACACGTGCACACCCATGTGCGAGTGCGTGTGAGTGCACGTGTGTGGACTTAGCCGTGTGCCTGGGGGCTCTGGGGGGAGACCCTGGCTGTGGCAGACACCCTCCAGGGTACAGCCGCGAGGCCACGCCCAGCCCAGCGGCCACGCTGGCCCAGGCTTCGCTCCCTGCTGACCTCGCTTCCAGCCGCCCCTGGCCTCCGAGTACTGGTGAGGCCTCCCAGTGTGCCCAGTGCCCGGCCTGGGGGAGGGAGCTGGAGGGCCCTGGGAGCCTAACTTTACAGGATGTTCTGACTGCTCTTTCTTGAACGTGCAGCGCCTGGAGATGCTGGCAAACAGGCGCTCAGCGAAGCTTCAGCAGCGACAGGGCCCGGCCCCGCACCGGCGTCCCCTCCTGCAGCGCATTCTTCCCGGGACACAGGCTGCGGCCGCTGCAGGAGGCCGAGGTGTCCGGGCCCCGCCCCTGCTGTCCCCTGGCTCCTCCTTGCAGCCCGGCCCTGGCCCCCCAAGCAGGGGGGGGGCTCCCTGTCCTGGAGGAAGCCCCCTGGGCCTGGCTGTCCTGGGGCCTTCCCACGTTGGGGAGCAGGCCTCGAAACCCAGACCCAAGCTCTGCCCTCCAGCTCAGCTTCGAGGACATGTGTGAGGCTAGCACGATGACGAGGTGTCAGGTGTGGAGCCCACGTCCCCCGAAGGTGCCAGTGGGGGGGGGGTGGCGCCAGGAGCCTGACCACAGGGCGCTGACAGATATGCCCTCTGTGCCCAGGGCCAGGGGCTTGCCACTGTGGGAGCCAGGGCAGGCGTGAGACCCCTGGAAATCACTTCTCTATTTCTCAACGCGTGTGTGCGTGCATGTGTTTGCATGCATGCGCGTGCAGGTGTGTGTGCGTGTGTGTGCGTGGATGGAGGGGGGGGCCTTTGAACACCACCCAGGGAGGCTCTGGGCAAATGCCAGAGGCTTCTGTGCCCGACAGCAGACATGCTGTGTGGTCTGCTCGGGGGCGGCGGGCCTGGGAGCCCACAGTCAAGGCCCTGACAAGTCTGACTCTCGGTTAAGCCTGACGTGCATGTGGTTGGGAGGCAGGCATGTCGGGCACATGGTTGGGGCGGCGGGTCCCTCCTGTGGGCCCTGCTGTGCAGGGAGGTTGTGGCGAGCGGGCGGTGGTCCATGCCTGGAAGGGGGCTGTTGGCAGGCGGCAGTTCTCAGCTGGGGCTGGAGTCCGCTCGGGACTCTGTCCCCGGCAAGGAGCCAGCGTTGGCCTCCTGGGGCACCACAAGCACAGAGGCCTCAAACGCCCCCGACTGTGACCTCGTGGACGCTCAGGGGCACGGGCATGGCCTAACTGGGTCCTTGGCTCAATGACAGCCCGGACGGACGGTCAGCCAGGTGTGGTCTCCCCTGGGCTTCAGGACCTTCTGAGCTGCCGGCGGCAGAAGCCTCGGGCTAATGCAAGGTCACTAGTGGAGGTTGTGGGGCAGGCGGGAAGCTGGTGCGAGCCCTGCCTGGTGGGCGGGAAAGGGAGGATGTTCTTGATCTCACATAACCACCCCGACCAGCTCTAACAAAGACGCTTTACTGAGTGTCTGACAACCGTCCATTCGTATGACAGAGGCACGTGCGGGTCCTGCGGCCACCCTTCCAGACGCCCCCCCCACCCCGTGGCGACCCCATGCTTCCGCCACCCAGGTCCTGAGGAGCTACAACACCAGAGATCCACCACCCGCCCAGCGCAGCCAGGGCCGTGTGAGCACGGCCTGCCCGAGCGCGGCTTCCCCTTCGGTCTCCCCACACTGTCGCCCCATCGGGGGCCTCGCACACGCACTTCGCAGAGACATGGACATTATGGGGACGGGGGCAGAGCAAACCCCCCTCCTGTCCCGGCTGTTGCAGCACCAGTAAGACTAAGGGCTCAGGGGCCACGGCTACCCCGGCCTGAGGTGGTGCCCTCAGTGGCTGGGGGGCAGGAGTCGGGTCCCCGGGCTGTGGCTCTGCCCACGGAGGACACACTGGAGATGCGGTTTCCAGGTGTCCTCTCTGGCCCCGCTGCCTGACCCACGGCTGCATCTGACTCCCCAGACAGAATTCTCCCTGCCCTGGCCCCTCCCCGCAGGGCTGTGCAAACCTCTGCATCCTGCTGAACAAAACACCCCGGCAGCGGGCAGTGGGCAATGGAGGGCGCAGGGCGGCGGAGGGCGGAGAACGGCAGAGGGTGGAGGGCGGAGGCCCAGTGGGTCTCCTGCTTCGAGGACGGCACGGTTCTAGAAGGCGGCCGTTGTGGGCAGAATCTGTGCCGTAACCGGGTGGGAGAGACGACGGGGGAAATGTGCACAATGGCCCTTAGCTTCAAAGCAATGTCAAGGCCACATCCGTCTCCTAGGAAACGTCTGCTTCCAGATCGAACTTTGGGAAGATATTTATTACAGAGACTAGCTGCAATGCCACCTCGAGAAGAGGGGAGGGGTGAGGCGGGGCCCCCACGCACAGGCTGCACACGCCTGGGCCCCACACAGCGGAGCGCCTGGCACAGCGCTGATGCCCTTCCCGCTCGTGCCCGGCACTGGCTACGCCCAGGGCGTGGCCTTCCCAGGCGGGGCTGAGCTTCCGGGCACACGGCCTGCGGGCGGGAACTCAGCTGCATGCGGGCCCCCAGCGGGGTTGCAGTTGAGGCTGTGGCTGTGGGCCCCACGTCCCCCAGATGCTGGGGCACAGGGTCCCGGGAGGAGGGCCCGACGGGCTCCGGCTGATGGTCAGTCCATGTCCTCCTGTGGCTCCGGCTTGTGCAGGGCCTGGAGCCGGCTGAGCACAGCCTGGTGCACGGCCTCCAGCCCCTCGGCGTCCAGCTCCCGCAGCAGCAGCAGGATGGCGGTCAGCACGTTGCTCTGGGGACACAGAGCCACTGGCTGAGTGCACGTCCTGGGTGACCAGCCTTCCAGGCAACAGGAGACACACGGGGCAGACACTGAGGTGGACAGAGCTGCGGCCGCCGGCGGGCACCGCCCAGAGAGCTAAGCAGCCAGCCCTTGGTCACACAGCTGCGGTGACACAGCTGAGTCACACGCAGCGGGCTCAGAAGGGGGCTGAGTGGCCCAGGACGGTGATCAGTAACGTGATCAGACACACGTGTGCTGACGTGTGCTATGGGTGTGCACGCGTACATCCTCCACAGGTTTCTACCTGCACTTGAGCAAGAAAGGATTTTGCACAGGAGACTTCCCCAGCTCCTTCTGGTGAGGGGACAGGAGAGATGCTGTGAGTGAGGTGACGTGCACAGGGGGTCACACTGGGGCTGAGCCACAGAGCCCCTGGGCACCAGGGCGCTGACCCCCCGCCCCGGCAACACTCAGGCGTCCTGCTCCGTCCCCATCTCCCTCCTCTCCAGGCTCTGTCTCCAGGCTCTGCCGGGCCGTCTGCATTTAGGCTCGCAGGACCCCCTGCCCCCCACCCCAGGGAGGGTGGAGCCTCCATCCAGGTCCACGTTCAGAGCAGACCCAGGGCCTCCTTCCTTCCCGTCCCCAGAAGTTGGTTTGATGGCCCTGAGTCTGCGTTTGTGGAAGGCACCGAGCTGGGTCAGTGTTCAGTGTCGGCCCCCCACCCCCACCCAGTGCCCTCCAGAGGCCTGGGCCTGCGAAGAAGGGAGCTTCAGGCCTTGCCCTGCCTGTAGGGGCTTTCCCCCTCTAGGGTTGTGTATGGGGGGGTTCCTCCTGAATTTGTCACAGAAGTGTGCACACAGACCGCTGAGCTGACCCCACGCACACACACTTCAAGGGACAGTTGTGGGGGGCGTGGTCCCCAGGCCTGGGGTAGCTGTCAAGACCAACGTTCAGTCTGTGGTCACTTCTGTCGGCAGCTCTGGGGGGACACGCCTCCCAGAGGGTGGGTTGGCCCGGCCCGGCCCCTCCCCAAGACAGGGCCTGTCCTTCTCCCTCTTTGCTCCCCACAATCTTGGCAAGTTCCAAGGGGGTGCTGGCGGCCCCGTCCCCCGGCTGTGGAGCCCTTCCCTCGTGAGCCCGCCCCCGTCCCACGGCTCTGCTCAGCCAGCCCCACTCCCACGTGACCAGGCGGCAGGGAACCCACGGGTCAAGCTAACGGCAGTGACCCCGTCCTGGCCAATCACGGCTCCCACCCGGGACGTGAGCAATTGCAGCTGAGGAAGCCGGGCCTGCTGTGTGGGGACACTCGGGGTGGCCGCCCTTTACCAGGAGAGGACACGCAGGAAGAAATGGCGTGAGCCTGGGTGCGAGGGCCAGCCCCGGCCAGCAGGGGGCCGAGCCCTAGGACGGGCCGGAACGACACAGAGGCAGACACACCTGGAAAGCCCCGGGGTCTCTGACCGAGCTGCCACGTAACCTACTTCCTGTCAGCAGCCTGTTACCCCTCACAGGGGTGAGGGCTGAGTCCACCTGCAGGCCGGAGCCCCCCCCCCCCCGCCGCTGCCCCCCAGCAGCGAACCCCTGCAGCCTGCATGGCAGCCTCCCCGCCCCCAGGGCAGACCCGGGGCAGACCCAGGGCTCGCCTGCAGCTCGGCCTGCACAGGCCCACTGCCTGGGAGGGGGGGGGTCTCTCTGGGGCCTGCTCCTTCCCACCGAGCTCAGAGCTGGCATCCCCACTCCCGCCTGGCTCTGAGTCCCTCCCTGCGTGTCTCCACCCCCCACTCTCCTCACCCTGGGCAGAGGGAGGCGGCGGCCGCCCCCCGCCGGGCTGCCTTCATCACACTCACCCTGTTCCTGCGGCCGCTCGCGGCTTCCCTCTGTGAGAAGGACGGGAACCGGTCCCGGGAAGGGGGCTTCAGGCCGAGCTGGCCCCGGACGCTGCCGGTGGAGAGGGAGCACGGGGCGTGTGAGGCCTGACCTGCTCGGGGACCCACACCGAACCCCAGAGGCTCGGAGCACAGCGGGAGGGCAAACTGCCACTCAGTGATGTTTCTGGAGGGGCACAGCGAGGGAGGGGCGGGTGGGACGGTGGGTCTGCCCCCCTCCCCCTGGCCACACCCCTACCCCGCCCCGGAGACAACCTTGCTGCCCTTGGGCTCCCGCCAGGGCTGGGGGCTCTGAACACACAGAGGCAGAGCAGGGGCTGCAAGGCCTGCCGCCAAGGTGGCGTCCGGATGGCCTCACACGCGGGGGGCAAACAGAACAGGTGGCTTTGGGGCACGTGGACTCAGCCTGACAGCCTCACCGGTTTCTACAACATTCCCCATGTGCAGTTTATGCTCAGAAACGTCTGTGACGCTGCAACCCGCCCCCAGAGGCCTCTTCCGGTCATGTCAGCAGTGCTGTGGCCAGGGAGGGCCCTTCCCTGGGGCCGCACGCCCCTCCCTCCCCTTCCCCCCCCCCCAGCCAGCGGGCCATGGTCACAGCCACGTGGCTTTCCCTTGGGTTCGGCAGTGCTGGTTTCAGTGGTGCTCCCACGCCCGCCGGTCCACGGTCCACCCTCCCCCCCACCCCGCCCCAGCCTGGGCTGCTCCAGACCTGCAGGCCCTGGGTCCTGGGCCCCCGCAGCACACAGCTGGCCGCAGGCTGGGGGCCACTGAGCGCCCGGACAGGGAAGAACCTCCCTGGGCGGTTCCCTTCCCTCACTCTCCGGTCATGCAGGTCTGGGAAAGGCCCCCTGACCCCAGAGCAGGCCCCTGGGGACAGGCCCGCCGCCTGCTGGCCTCACCTGGCCTCCTCCTCGCCGCAGCTGAGCGCGTCCCGCTGGGTCTCGGCGGTGGTGTCCAAGGTGCTCAGGCCGTAGGGGAGCTGGGGCCGGCCGTTCCCTGCGCCCTCTCCGCTCGGGGCCGTGACCTCCTCTCCCTCCAGCAACGCTCTGGACAGCTCCTCCTCGGTCACAGCTTCGGATGACGGGGAGGGAGCAGAGCGTCAGTGCGGACCCCCCGCCCCACCCCTGACCGCGGCATGTGGGAATCGGCGTTAGACAAGAGGAGTCTGTCCGTCTGCCCCGCTGGCCAGCTCAACAGCGCGGCGGGGCCCTGCCTGTCACACGGTGACCCTGGCCCGTGCTGGGCACGAACCTCAATTTCAGCACTTGCTACAAGTATTCATAGGAAGTGAAATTAAGGTAGGTTTTTAAAAAGGAACACGGTACACGATACTTAGTCCATTTCATTCACACGGGGCCGTATTTCATACACGGAGTTAACCTATATGAAAAGTGTGCATCTGGGAGAAAGGACTGTGCACACGTGGGAAGGGCTGGGGACCCTCTCCATGCCCGCCGGGTGCTCAGGAAGCACAGCGGTGTGTGCTGACCAGGAAAAGGGCAGAAACACCTCTGCTCTGACAGCGGGGCTGATGCGCAGCGTGGGGCCCCCCGAGATCTGCACTCCGTGTGGGGCCGTGCCCAGCGCACCCGCCCCGCTCACGCTTGTGAACGAGGAGTGCAACCTGGGGCCTCCCTGGAGGAGACGTCAGTGGCGGGGGGCGGGGGGCACCGGGGCGCCGACGCCTACTCTGGTTGTCCAGCTTCTGCAGGTGCGGCAGGTTGCGCAGCACGGTCATGCGGTAGAGGTGCGGGTCGGCGCCGCAGCACGGGTTCTCGGCCAGCCACAGCACGCGCAGGCGCGGCAGGCCCTTCAGGTAGTAGAGCTCGGCCAGGCTGGGGATGCGGTTCCTGCGCAGGTAGAGCTCGCTCAGCTGCTGGCACTGGCTCACGGGCTCCAGGCTGGAGACGCTGTTGACACTGCAGGGGACAGCACTGTCAACCACAAGGCCCGCACATCTGCCCTCCCGGGGACGCCGGGGCGTCAAGTTCAGCGAAGCGCCCGGGGCGAGGAGACAGGGCAGGAGCACGGGCAGCCGCCGGCTCGGTGCAGGCCTCACCCAGTCCGTGTGGACGTCGGAGGGGCCACTGTCCCTCGCAGGACAGGCCACAGGCCACCAAGGGACCATCTCGTGCCCCAAGTAGGCAGTGGCCAGAAAAGCCCACAGCAAACACGAGCAAGCTCTGCACCACGCGCAGCTAAGCACGGGACTCCTGGGCCCCGTGCGTAAGGAGCGGCGCGTGTGGGTTCACGTTTTCCGCAGAAGTGCGAACACATCAGACACAGAAAATGGCCCAGGCATCTAGGCAGAGGCCCTGCAGGTTTGAACAGACACAGGCAGAAACCTCCCACCTCCGCAGAGGCAAACGGACCGTGAACACACGCTCGGCTCAGGCTCCAGCTGAGCCCAGAGCCCTGGGCCTGGCGGGAGCACCACCCACACAGGCGGGGACGCGCCTCCTCCACAGCTGTGAGGACCTTGCAGCTCCCCGCAGAGCTGGAGGGCGTGGGTGGGGCCGCTCCAAGAGACCCTGCCCAACCCGCCTCTCCAGAACATTCTCCCCTGCAGTCTGCATCTGCAGTGATGTCCTAATTCTTCCCAGGGACACCACTGCAGTTCTGAGCACTCACTTCCTACTGCAGGGGGCAGCGTGGAGAGCCGTGCTCAAGGTGTGCAGGCACTGCCCCAGGCACAGGCAGGGGTGCGGTGAGGCCTGAGGCCACACGCAGCCGGTCCTCCTCCTCGACCCCTGGGCTGCCTGTGGTTGGACTGACTGTGCCCCCCAAACTCGTATGTTGAAACCTAACCCCCCAGGGTGATGGTGTTTGGGGGTGACTGGGTCAGGGAGCCCTCACAACAGGATCCGCTCCCTTAAGAAAGAGACCCCAGCACTCCCTCGCCCCTGTCCCCACCCGAGGGCCCAGTGAGAAAATGGCGTGTGTGAACCGGAAAGCGGGTCTCACCAGATACTGAAAATCCAACACCCTCCTCTTGGGCTTGGAGCTCCGGGACGGACTGAGACAGGCCTCACACACACGAGGCTCTGAGCCCAAAGGGAACGACCGCATCTCACCAAAGGGCCGGCAGCCGTGTTCACACGGCAATTTACACCGGGTCCCGGTGCAGCCAGATACCCAGGCACTGGCGCCTGGGCTCCATCAACAACCCTGGGCCTTGTCCTTCCTGTGGGCCGTCCACGAGGCTGCTCCGAGAGGCCTGGCCACCTGCCCCAACCTCCAGGTTGCCTGCTCCTTCGGGGAACGAAGGTAAGGCTTCCTGGGGTGCGGGCTCAGACCTCAGCTTCACTGATAACCAGGCAGTGACAGCGGGCGTGTGGACCCTGGCTCACCACCACAGCCCCGCTGCACTGCCCCTCGGGGCGGGCACTGGTATTATTTCCGTGTTACAGATAGGGAAACTGAGGCCGGCAATGGCGACTCACAGGCTCCCTCCAAACTGCCCAGCTGCCAGATGCCCCCACGACAGCTCCTGGTTCATGCACGGCTTCCCTGGTGTGTTAGGGCCAAGGCCTCCGGGAGAGGTAACTGGCGTCAGTGAGAGGCCGTGTGGTGTGGGGAGGACGGCGCCTCCTGGCAGCTCTGGAACCAGAGGGCAAGAATGCTGGGGGCGGACGGGGCCGCCTTGAGGGCAGCTGCTCATCAGTGGGGGCTGTACCCACCGAGCACGGTGAGGCCGGGTGTGCTCAAGGGCGATGGCCTGGGGAGGCTGGGCACAGACATTCAGGGGGACGGCCGGGGGGCTCGCACGGCGGGGCGTGCTCGAGGGAGACGGCGGGGTGACCCTCATACGGGAGGCAGAGCTCAGGGGGCTGAGGAGCAGCCAGGCCTGTGCCGCTGACACTGCTCCGCCCACAGAAACCCCCCCTAAAACAGTTGGGAGTTTTCAGATTATCCAAGGGGACCTGAAGCTTCTCCTTTTGAGACCCGTGACTCAGAGCGCGGCAGGCCTTCGGGTACCTGAGGGTGATCACTTCCAGGCTGGGCATTTCCCGGCAGATGGAGACCTGGGAAGGAAAGGAAGGTGATGGCCAGAGCCGCCGGGCACTCTCTCCGTGAGCCCCGTGCACAGACGAGGTCCTCCACAGCCTACGCGGAGCAGTAGTGCCGGCACGACACCCCACTTTGCACCAGACACCCCCTCAACATGTAGACGCTGCTAGAATCCCTAAGCTGAGATGCCCGCACAGGACATCGGGTGACACAGAACCTTTCTTCTGCTGTCCCTGAGGCGCAGGGAGAAGGCTTGGCCAACGGAGCCGGGGCAAAAGGGAGGGAGGGCCGGGGCTGGATGCCACACCACATTAATCCTGCCGACTCGGGGGGAAAGAGCCCACGGGGCGCTTGGCCGGGTCCGTAAAGTCAGCCTTCAAGGTCGATGGGCGGTGCAGCCCCCACATATGTCCGTGCTGCCACGGGCCAGGCAGGGAGCCAGACCAGGCCCTTGACCTCCACAGGCCCACGGTGGTCTCAGAATGCTTCACAGGTGCAATGGGTTTGTTTTCTGCTATGGTGGCGTTTTTGGTTTTTAGGGTTTTTCTGGCTGCTGAACATGCAGCATTTCAGCTACAGCAGGAGGTGGAATCTGCTTTCCTGGCAGCCCAGTGGCTCAGCCACGTTTCTGACTGTTTTCAAGGAGAGGGACAGTTCACGTTACAAAAGTGAGACAGAAACGACAGACACACGGTCTGTGTGTAAGTCTGGGATGTTCCCTCCAGGACAGGGAGTAAGAAATTCACTCACAGACCCACAGCTCAGCTCAGGCCCCCATCTCTTCCCGCCGTGTCCCGGGGAGAGCATGACGCTGGACCTGACCGAGCACAGGGGCTGAAACAAGCAACTAACTCCTCAGTGACCCAAAGCCCAGAAACCCATGAAAAAAGACTCCCTCAGAGCACACTTCTCTGGTAGGTAAACCAAGGCCTCTGCCCATCCCCTCCTCTGGGAGACCTGGGACACAGAGCTGTTCATCAGCAGGAGAATATTTAAAAAAACTTCAAAATAAAGCTGGGCACTCTGGGATATTGTTTTCGTTAGTCATTCTACATCCCAAGAGCTGCTAAATAAACAAAGCACCAGGCTAGGGGCTGAATTGAATGCGTGCGGTTCTGTACATTTTAACAATTCTCTTGAGGGACAGGTGACACATTTCCAGACCAGGGGGCATCTGGAGATGATCGGCAGAATACTTACATCTGTGAGGCGGCTGCCCCTGCGGAGAGAGAAGAAGACATACACACTTTAGTTTTGCTAAAGCTGAGTAAGAAAAATCTATAACTACAAATTAATTAGTGACAAATGCCTACAGACTAAAATCCTGTAATTGCAATGACAAAGTAAGGGAAAGCTTGCCCAGCTGACACAAAGGTGCTGAAAGTTGTCGCACGGCTGATTTGCAACAAAACTGCTCACGCCTAGTGCTCGAGGGGTGCTTCTGGGGTGCTTCTGACCCTCAGGAGCAGGAGGGCCACCCCGCTTGGAGGACACAGAGACCCACTCACTCTCCAGGCTGTGGCAAGGCGGGACAACTTCCCTCACTGATATACGTAAACAAGCAAGTCCTTGTAACGGGCCATGTTCAAAGGCTGAACACGCAGCTTGTGAGACAAAGACTAGAGAGCTTGAAATGGGCCGTTGTCTCTCCCCGCTTCGAGGACTGCACGGCCACCTCCCGCAAGACAAAGAAGCACATTGTTGAAAACCAAACGGCGCCAAATGTCAGAAGTGCCAGGGCAGAGAGAAAGGCTTTTTAATGCACAAGCAGAGCCCAGTGCAGTCAATCTGCCTTCCTGGGAGGAAGGTCTGCTCCTGGCTGGGCCCGCTACGCCCCGCCGGAACTGTACAGTGCACAGGGGTGCGGGAAGCCTTGCTTTGGGTCCCTGGCGAACACCTGTAGATCCTTCCGGAGTTCATGAAGTGCTTCTGGTCCTTCCTCAACTCAGCCCACCTCTGTGCCTGCATGGACCCCACAGCTCCTATATCCTGTCCGGTCACCTCCCAGACAGCGAGTCACCTGGGGACCGCCCCTCCCCAGCAGGACTCAATCCCAAGAATGTTTATGGATTCCTGACTTTGGAGTCTCAGGTCTTTCTTTCCTACTAGAAATGGCGTTGACCATGTTGATCTCAAACCGGATCAGTAGGCTTGGCTCCTAACTGGCAATGTCAGCAGTCAGACCCTTCCCAGGGGGACCGGTCTGCCCCACCGATGCCATCTGGAAGGCTGACCAAGGGACTTCACGGTAATGCTGCTTGTCTCAGGCAAAGAGCGCATGTTTGGAGCCTGGGTCTGAAGCACCACCACTCAGCGGGGGCAAAGATTCTGGAACGATCTTTGCCAGAGGCCACCTGGGCTGGTGGCGGCACCCCCTGCACGCTGGGGGTCCTGGCACTTGCTCCCCTTCGCCCCACACCCCCTGCGGCTCCTCCGCGGGCTCCTCCCTCCCCGGGCCGGTGCCGGGCGGAGATGCGGGGCCGCAGGGCCGTGAGGGGCGGCCCGGGCCCTCACCAGCAGTTGAGCTTCCGCACGCTGTGCAGCTCCGAGGCCTTGGCCCGGGACAGGACCATCTTCCGAGTCAGCTTCATGGCGGAGGGCCTCCCGGAAGCCAGCCCCGGGCCCCACGCCCAGCCCTGGGCCTCGACAGCAGCCCGCGAGGCCCCGGCTCTGGGTTCCTCCGCGGCCCGTCTCCAGGGGGCGGGGCCACGTCGTCAGGGGCGGGCCCTGCGAGCCCATTGGCCATTCCTTGAGGGGCGAAGCGGCGCGAGCGCAGTGACGCTCAAAGCGTTGGTTCCGACCTCGCCTGCCCCGCCCCGCCCCTCGGGCTGCGCGCGTCCAGGCCTGCGCGTGCGCGGCGGGAGGGGGAGGGGGACGGGGACAGGTCGGCTTCTGACGTAATTCTGCTGCGACCCAGGTGAGGCCCCTCCTCCGGACAGACCCGCCGTACCGAGTTGTCTAGCCCCAAGCCCCCGAGCCTGCAGCCCTCGAGCCCTGAGCACCCCCAGCCCTGAGCCCTCGAGCCCTGAGCACCCCCAGCCCTGAGCGTTCGAGCCCTGAGCCCCCCAGCCCTGAGCCCTCGAGCCCTGAGCCCCCCCAGCTCTGAGCCCTCGAACCCTGAGCACCCCCAGCCCTGAGCCCTTGAGCCCCGCGTCCCCGAGCCTTCCAGCCTCCGAGCCCCAAGCCCTGAGCCCCCCAGCCCCGAGCCCTCGAGCTCTTGAGCCCCCCCCAGCTCTGAGTCCGGAACTTAGAGGTGATAGTGTCTTGACTCCCTGAATGACGGCGATTTAAACCGTTAAAATAAGTTAAGCCTAGGGCTGTGTGGTTTCCCTTCCCCCCCTTGAGCATTTAAAGAAAGGTGGCCTCCCAGCTGGTAAGCGTTTCCGAAGCCGGAGGTCGCCGCAGGCGCAGGCGCAGGCGCACTGACTGGCTTTGGGATCTCATAGCTGTTGCAGGTGCCAAGACCCAGCGTGAGCCATCCTCTGCCCTCTTTTCTGCTAGCCCCCGTCCTGCCCTTGACCTGCCGGCCCGGGCTCGGTCCGCAAAGCCTGCTGTCATTCCACCTTGGATGTCTGACCGTCCTCGCTGTCTGATTCAGTTCTTCATGCAAGTCGCATCTGATCATCTCGCACCGCCCACCTGGGACGTCTCAGAACCTTCCCGGTTCCCCCACGCTGACCCTTGGCTGTAAACCCCCTTGTCCTCTTTGTATTTGGACTTGAGGCCAGTCTCCCCTATTCCAATAGCCTTGAATAAAGTCTCCCGTACCGTTTTAAGAAGTGTTAGAAAAATTTTTTTCTTGAACGTTGATCAGAGATTGCTTTCCCAGAACGTCACAGCCGCGCCTGAAGCCCAGGGCCCCGAGGCCGCTGCAGGCCCCACCTGCACGGGGACGCGGCAGGAGGTGGAGGCTCGGTGGGAGGCGCTTCCCGTGGGGTCTCCCGTCCCCCTCAAGCCTGGCGCTTGTACCTCAAAGACGACATAGGGTTTCTACAAAGGGGAAAGCCTGCCCACAGTAGTTGAGCTCTTGCGGCTGCTTTGGGGGCTTTGTCCTTGCGCTGTATTTTGCGGGCCGCGGGGTGCCCTGAGTGGTTGATCGGTCAGAGTCTTGCCCCGAGGCCTCTCATCAACGCACGGGTGACGAGTCCCCCCAAGATGGTGTGTGAGCCTCCTCAGGCAACAGAGGACAGCGGTGTTCTTTGAGGAGGAAGAAAGCCCGCCGGAGCTCTCCGACAGACCCTGGCTCCACGGCTGGCTCAGTGCAGGTGTCAGGGCGGGACAGGAGTTCAGCCTCGCCGAGGGGCAGGAAGCGTCCAAGAGGCGCAGGCTGAGCGAGCTTGCTCAGGGCTTCTGGCTCTCCCGACTTGGGAGGCACGTCAGGTGACAGGAGGGTCTGCCCACGGTGTGCACAGCATGCCGCCAGCAGGCGGAAGCGGGCATCTGCAGAAGCTGGTTCTGGGGAAGGCGCAACGGGCACGGGGCCGGGCACCGCGGGCTGCGGCTGTGGGCCTGTGGCGCCTGGGAAGGGGGCTTTGCAGGTGCTGGCCCTGCGTGTCCCCACCTGGCTGAGGTGGCCCCTCCTCCTCCTCGCAGGACTCGTATGGTCCGTAAAGGGGCCAGGCCAGGTGGGGCATGAGCCACACGGACAGGCCCTGGCTCTCGGCACCAGGGCCGCACCTCGAGGGCTCTGTGCGGGCGACGGGCATGACGGGGGCAGGTGTGGGGCCCTGCCGGCCTGCCTGGGGCAGATCAACCCTCAGGTTCAGGGCATGTCCTTCCCCGGTACTACTCACTGGGGACCAGAAACCACTCGTCCCCGAGTCCAGTGGCCGGTTGAAGGTCCTGGTGACTCAGGTGACACTCACAGAGTGAGGAGTCTTTACCTGCTAAGTAGAAGTGTGTGGTTTGGGTGTGTCACCGAGCGTTCCCAGAACTCCCCTCCCCGGGCAGCTGCCGGCGGGACTTGACCCCAGGAGAAATTTGCACGTGCTTTGGAAGGTGGAAGACAGTAGGGAAGACCGTCCTGGGCAGAGATGGGGAGAGATGGACGGACGCAGAAGGGTGGGTTTGGGGGGGGCTGGGGTCGTCCCTAAAGTGTGCCGTCTTCTTGCCGCCAGTGGCCTTTCCTGCTGCCAGCATCCCTCGCCGCTGCAAACTCACCGCTGTCCACAGACCTCTCCACCAGCCCCCGCTGTGGTCCTGCGTCCAGAGCGGGGCCCGCCGAGCTCCCCAGATCCCCTGCAGGCTCCTCCCCCTGCACCTGCGCCCCTCCCCCCCCCCCTGCCCTGGGAGAACTCCTTCTTGATCCCCTTCCCGAATTCCTCCTGGACTTCTGTGTCCCTAGCCCCTTCCAGAACTGTGTAAGGATGACCTCCTGTAACACATCTCCTCTTTTGCCACACTCCTGGGGCTCCTGCTTCCGGAATGAACCCCGACACAGGCAGCCATGCAGAGGAACTTGCCTGAACCAAAACTGAAACACTGGTTTGTGTCATCGAGAAGCCAAGGGTAGTGGCTTCAAGTGTGGCTGGATCCAGGGCCTCGGTCTTTGTTGTTGGGGCCCAGGCTCTACCTCCGGCCCCCCAGCCTGCACTTGCCCGCAGCAGATGCTGTCTACCCTCTGCTTCAGGCCTGCACCCTGGCTGCTTGAGTCCAGCAGCAAGAAGGTTTTTTCCAGTGACTCAGGTGCCTGTTTGGGGACTGGCCTGGCATCAGGCTATGCACCCAGAGGCCGGCTCTGCGGCGGGTGTGCAAACCCGGTTTCCAGCCTGAGCTACGTGCCTGAAGTGGATAATGAGAGTGAGTGAGGGGAGGTGCCCAGAGGGACATCAGAGAAAAAGAGAACCCGCTGCTTCAGGCTGTGGTCGCTGTGGGAAAGGGGACAGCCCGGACACGCTGTGCCTTCGGTCCCCGCCGCGGTCCCTCTTTGTGTGTCCTGTGCACACTTCCCCATCTCGGGGGAAACTCCCCTCTCCCGGCAGTCACTCTGGGGCCCTGCCCACAGGATCCCCACGCACCCCGGCTACCACAGGACAGTCCCCTTCCCTCACTTCTAGCCCAGCTGAATCCCGAGCTTCATTTCTGCCTGCACCATGTCCCAGACCCGTGTGGCTGCCCCAGGAGCCCCTGCGAGCTTCTGGAAGCCACAGCTGCAGCGACTCCTCCTTATGGCTTCTTGGGGCCCTCGGGTTGGGGGGGGTGGGAGGGGCTTCCTGCTGCCAGGTGGCCTCCGGGGCTGGGAACCGGGAAGCATGGTCCTCTCTCTGCTGGGGTCCTGGCCCCTGTGCATTCTGGGGGATGGTGCGGCCCCAGCAGGCATGACAGGGACCCAGGGCAGGGCCTGCTCTCCTCTCTGCAGGCTGACCACTCTGCCGTCATCCTGGGGGCTGCCCCACGGGACGTTGGGACCGAGGCGCAGAGGAAAGTTCTGGGCGTTTGGGCTGGACGGTGGCAGAGAAGAAGGTCCTGGTGGGGGAGGGAGGGGCCAGGTGTGAGCTCTGTTCTGTGATGGCAGCAGAAACTGTCACCAGCTAACAGGTCACCCCAGGGTGGACTGTCCCCAGGCCTGCATACCTTCCTCCTGCCTGGTTTCCGTCTGGGGACTCGGCCTCCTTGTGTTTCAGCCGCTCTTCCTCAGTTCTGCCTCAGCTCTCAGCCGGGACCCTCCCAGGCACGGCCCCCGGCCTATCACCGCTGGGGTACCAAGGCAGGCCCCTGTGGCTCTGGGTGCACAGCTGGGGGGCCCCCAGGCTCCCAGGGCTCCTGGGAGAGCACAGGACTCTCCGGCCTAGAGCTGCTGGCCCGATCTCCCTGAAACTGTGGCCTCACCCGCTGGCGTCGGGGCGGCTGCCTCGCACAACGAGGAGTGCTGTTGAGGGCAACAACGCGCTGTCTGCACCCCCCTCACTGTGCCGGGCGGGGGACTCCACGCTGGGCCCACTGGTGAACGTGTCTGACCATGTGCAGCCCGGGGAATGGCTGGACTTGCCCCAGCCTCTGCCCTAGCTTCCCTTCTCTCCATCCACCCTCACCCCAGGCTCCACCATCTAACCTTTCAAACTGTATCAGTTATCAGCAGCTGTGTAACAAATGGCCCCAAACCCAACAGCTCACAACAGGAGACATTATCTCCTCGCAGTGCCTGAGGGGCGGGACTCTGGGAACCGCCGGGCTGCTGGCCTGACTCGGGGCCTCTCATGAGGTCGGGCTGTGGGCCAGGGCTGCCGTCTCTGGAGACCTGAGGGGGTCTTCCAAGCTCCTTCACGAGGCTGCAGGCAGCAAGCCTCATCGTCATGGCACGGCCTCCCGGGAGAGAGTGACGAACGCTGGGTTGGACCCTGCCAGGGGCCCTTGGGATGTTCCTCAGTGTCCCTGAGTCACAGACCCCTCACCAGGGAACGGGCACAAGAAGCTCTGACACATCGCATCGT